TTATACACTGGTAGGATGAGATGAACCCTTGTTATGGTATTTTTATTTGTTTATTAATTAATTATTTTAACTTTAATTTGGTTTGATTTGTGAGTGTTTATTATCGTTCTTTTCAATTACTTGACCACTAATTGAATTGTTAGTGAATTTTATTGTTATCAAGAGAGACAATATGATTTAAGTACAATATAATAAACAAGATGATATAGATATACTTCTATGATTTATATGGTTTCAATAGCTATTCTAGTACTTGTTAATATATTTATTATGTTTGTATATTTCTTTGAGAGATAGAAGAGTCACATGAGAGGAATTTAGTTGATCGCTATAAAAGATATGTTTTCAATTAAATCAATAACATTGACCAATATGGATGATTTCAAATTGTCACTTTAATTGTCCTACTTAAAATGGAATAATAAGGGAAGATCGATATCTTAACAATACATCTCACATATTTGAAAAATACATTTACTTACTTTCATTAGTTTAATTGATAATTCAGAGATTAATATAGAAAACTCACAAAATTTGTTTGCTATTCGATTAAAGTTTCAATTAATTTTAACTAGGTCATTGTGAGTTCAACACTCTATTCACTACTTTATTACTTGTTCATGATCTCGTTCACGGGGAATCAAACGATCAATAACAATAACTTTAGATTATAAGATTAAAAGACGTACTTTTTAATACTTTAATGATGTGGCATTGTCGTAAGTTGATATGACATACAGTGATTACATGGAGTATCTATTACGATATAGCTACTAATTTAGTGATATAGTCCTTGTTCGCTAGGGAACCTAGATCTTCATATAAGTTAAAATCAATAATTAATTTTCATCATATATTTAATGAGATCCACAATTATTCAACAACACATTTCATTAACTTATATCAAAATCTACTAAAAAACTTATTTTAATCATACCAAATAGGGGCATGATTTAAGTGTGAGACTGGAATGTGACTGAGTGGTGAGATTTAAATTAAATTGAAGTTGAGTGACCAAGTTCATACAAATTAAAATTTACGGTGACTTCAATAGGTTTCAGTGATCACAAATTCACTTGCAAAAAGCAAAAGATTTAAGGGTAGGTATGGCAATTACCCCAAAAATCCGAGCCTCGCGGTGCCCCATCCTGATTATTTTGTTATTTAAAAAAAAAAGATATATGTGTTTAAACTCACCTTACGGTCCTTACCCAACTTTATGCTCAAACTCAAACCGATTACTTAAAATCCATTAGCTCAATTTTCAAATTATCGCATTGACGCATTCATACATGAATTAATTTTCGTCGATCAAAACTATTTCAATAATCCACAATACGAACAGAGTGCCTACATGACAATGATGTGACAGGCACTTGGTAAATAAATTACATAGATAGTACGTAAACTTTACTCCTTGTATCAAAATCAGATATGAATTCAATTTTGTATCGAAATCATACATGAACTCACAAATTTCGATCTCATGCATACACTAATTAACTTGTCTGTCAAAACTAATCAAACAATTCACATGATAAACAAAGTGCCTAGGTAAAAATGATGCGACAGACACTTGGCATTAAAATCATGTCATTAAATTGCATTTTTAGGGTATTCCAATCATATTTATTTAATTTCAAAAGAGCGCAAATTTTCGAATATTTTGGGGAACGTTGTCTTTCGTTCCATTTAATGGCATTTCATATCCATTTGTTCCCAAATCGCATGAGACAGGAGTGTTTTAACATATGAACAATTATCGTATCAGTTATTCGCTTTTTTTGTGATGTTAAATATATGTTCAATGGTTCACGTACAATTTTAATACAAGAAATAAAGTGCATATATAATTTTAATACAGGACAAAGTTCATGTACCATTCACGTAATTAGCTAAATTTGTCTTTCTTGCGTGGTAAAAGGACAATGATCACTTAAAAATACGTCGGATATCAATAAGAACGTATTCCTAGTAAGTAATTCATGACAGCCATGATAATATTTTCTTAGTAAATCACGTTAATATATTTAAGTCATTTTTTATTCATATATTTTGAGTGATTCACAGTTTTAAAATATTAGTCTAAACATGTGTATAGTATTTGATTTGTCCACGTTCTAAATAATATATGTTAATCACACCATATTTTAATCATAATGAAAATTCCTAACATTTGGGTGAAAACCATTGTCAAATTAAACGAACAAGAAATCATAAGAGAGCATCATGCAACAAAATATTTCAAGAAGTCGAAGAAGCTGCTTAGATTTGAATATTTCTCCATGGACTGTGAAAGTTATAGCTCCATTAACTCAATGATTCGTATCTATTTACTGTCATGAATTTAGGAATAGCATGGTTCCATGGATCCTATTCTTGTCAAAATGTATCGAATCATCATCATTTGGGGTTTTCCAAATTGAACCATGTGATTCTGGTCAAAGGGCAAGAGCCATACCGAATCACAATCGATTAGATCCAATTCAATTAGAGGGATCAACAGACTACAAGAGAGTCACATAAATATGTAGAAATAATATTGTCACTGGTTGATTTAGATAAAAATCAGATTGTTATAGTTTGTTAGATGACGAGCTATTGTTGACCATCTATAGTCTTGATAATAGTACATTTATTACGTTTTTCACCCATATATATTTACGTTTATATGATTATTTAACGCTTAAAATACATTTATTACGTTTTTCACCCATAAATATTTACGTTTATATGATTATTTAACGCTTAAATGCACTAAGTACTTCTATATATTGGTTTAGGTCGCAAATGGGTGAAAACGGTGGAAAATGAAATAAACAAGAGAAAAATGATCAAAATGAAAGAAAGTGAAAGTTCAGGGACTGAAGAGTAAATACTCTAAACTTGTTTCCAACCTTGTGATGAAGATTCGAGAGCGTTAGAGGTCAATTGGATAAAATATAGCCAAAACATGATCACAAATCAGCTTTCAAGTTGAAAAGTTTTGCACCAATTTTCAGCCTCATATTGAGACTCTATTTTGACGTGGTAAACGATCGAATTCGAAGTTTACATCTGAATCAAAGTTGTTGCTCTTTGAGTTAGCTTTCCAACGCATCTTAAATCCCTCAATCGAATATCGGAAGAGAAAATTATGACCAAAAGACTAAAATCTGTCAGGTGGGAAAACATTATAACCATGTGGTTGCATGGTTATAAATCTATGCGACCGCATGGAAGCCTTCAGTGAATTCAAGGGCAGCAACTCTTTGTTCCATGCGGCCGCATAGGTCATTTCTGGGCGAAAATATTATATTTCCGGATTTTTGCTTAATCATTTATGGAAATTTTTTGGACCCTTTTTTTCTCGACCTAAATTTGACCATAAGAGGGAAACACGTCTCATTCATCATTGGGGGACGTTTTTTTTATCAATTTTCTCTCAAAAACTCCATGGAAGGCTAAAAAACCTTGGTGAAGTAAGGGAGGAACTCATTCGGATTTGGTGATTTCACGTCATTTATTCATGCTTTTTGTTATTTATTTTGCTAAACACTTCTAAATCTAGATTTTCATCTTTATGAGTTAATTGTAAAATTGATTTAATATGTATTAAGTTTTTTTTCATAGAATCAATCTCCTTTTTTCTATCGAACAATTGATCTACATGTTGAATTTCTATTTCATTAAATCTATTGGTGTGATTATCTACTTTCTTATGTTATATGTATATGAATGATTTATAATCTAATTTTAATAAATAATTGTGATAATTGTTAAGAGAATCTAGAATTCACTAATGCTTCTTTACCCAAGTTGGGTTACAAAAGGGGAGGTGCCCAAGTGAGGTGGCACCTCCCCATTGTTAAATTTTTTGATTAGAGTACCAGGATGAAGGTCTCTAATTGTGTCATCAATTTGTATATTGGTCTTGATTGTTAAATTTTTCGATTAGAGTACCAGGATGAAGGTCTCTAATTGTGTCATCAATTTGAATAAACGATGTTGAACGATCTGATCTGAGCGAGGGAATTCCAATGTTTCACTGCCTGAAATCACTGAATTTTATCTCATATTATTTTTGATATTAAGTTAATTGATCAACAATTCAACTCTCCCGCAAAATGTAAGAGGACAATTCACCCCCTTTTGAAACATTTGACAACTTTTCAATCTCCCTGTGAATACGACATCCCAAAACTACACTGCAACAGCGCGTAAATCTAGTAAGAGGACAATTCACCCCCTTTTGAAACATTTGACAACTTTTCAATCTCCCTGTGAATACGACATCCCAGAACTACACTGCAACAGCGCGTAAATCTTTGAGCGTAATAAGTCTCTTTGAATTGCTACCAACTATTAGCAACGAGACATGCTTAGACAATACAACGATAAGTGATTGATTGAAAAACTTTGAAAGAACAAAAATGCAACATAGCAGCCGAATAAATCTTGACGTGCACGGTTGAAATTTCAAATTAGTCCTTAAAGTATTATCTTGACCTATTTAGTCACTGAATTAAATAATATTACATAATCACTAATTAATATCATATCCAATATAGCAATAATTAAACCTCGACGTCGATTAATACACTTTACATTGTCGATTACTTTCAACTCGCCTCTTGTTTCAGCGAATTTTACATGAAAATAGTGTTAGAGAGTTAAAAGGAGCAATCCACGATATCAATGGAGCTACATAGGATTTGGAGTGGGTGTTGCCAAAAGAGCAATCGATTATATAACAAAATTTAACTTTCGATTTTAAATTTCAGTCGAACGTCAATGATCATTTATAATATTAACTCATACAATATAATTAAGACATAGTATGACGTACCAAACAATGTCTTAATCTAGTCATATAAATATTTCAAATCACTCTACCCATGATTTCATTCAGACCAAAACCAAGAATCTAAAAACCAATCGAAATCCAAGAGTTTAAATTATCCAAAAAACGACGTTTCGAGTCCGTATTAAATTGAAACTCAAAAACAATTGCCCTAAAATTACATGTAGATGGCCCAAGAAAATGACAAAAATAGAATAAGAAGAGTTGGAGTAGAATTAACAGCAGGAAACTCAAATGCAGCACTGGCAGTTGATGAGTTTGAAGTCTGGTTTGCTACCTGAGGAGGGCTTTGTGGCTCCAAAACTTTGATAATCATCTTCAGTCCCCTCTCACAGTGTCCTGCAACACCACTTATAAAATAGTACAAGCCCGGATGGTCCAATGTATAGTTACTATTTCCATTGTTGGAGAAGAACATAGGATGAGTCGATCGACATTTCTCGTATTCTTCTCGTGTCACCTCTAACACAGAATCCTTGCTATACTCGAAGCCTGCATTTTTCATATTAGTACACTAAAAAAAATCTCTGATAATGCATGCAGAAAGAGTTTAGAAATAGGAAGAAAGAAGTAAATACTACTTACACAGGGTGTCATTAATCTTGAACCTGTTCTTGGAAGCCCAATCATTGTATAGCTGATCATTCTTCGACGAGGGGACGGCCCAGCTGGCGTCGCCGCCTACATGAAACTCGACACAATGCACTGCAACTAAGTGTAGGGCAAAGAACAAATTGAACAGTATATAAACTTTGGAAGACATTTTTTTGGGGTGTTCTTGCTTTGTTTTTCTGTTTTAATGATGATTTGCTAAACCTTTGGGTTGCAAGATGGACTTAAAAGGTGAAGAGGAGAGAGAGATTCGAGGAGAAAGATGTGGAGAATGTGGGCTTGTTGGTGGCAACAGTTCAGAATATCTATTTGGCTATCTTTGACTTGGTATTAACTGGTACTCCAAAGATATATTCTCTTAAATATATATATTTTTATATAAAATGTTACAGAAATGTGTTTTTAATTGAGTTGATTGTCCCGGTGGTCACCCAACTTTTACCCTAGCAGTAATTAGGTTATTGAACTTCAATTTGCAATTATAGGGTCACTTAACTTCAATTAAATTGCAACCGAAGTCTATGTTGGATTCCAAAGACGATGTAACCACAAGACGCATAATTGATTATTAAAAATAATGAACAGACGTGGCAGTCCACATGGGCTTGCTCATGTCATTAGTCACATATAAAAAAGGGAACAGTACATAACTCATAGTTTCAAAGATTACATTTCATAAATAACAAACTCATTAAAATATTTCAAAAATCATATGGTAATATTTAAATAATTTATAATTTTATGTTACCCGGCAAACCCGGCCTAATTTTAGACTAAAATTAGATTCAGTTTCAGTTTGTTAGTTATAATTGAGGTAGAAAATACTCAGGGTGTAGAAAAGTTGGTGTGTAAAGTTTTTCAAGATAGTGTTAGATGATTTTTAGAAATTTTAATTCCCACCAAACACCCTCAATATAATATACATTAATTATTTCTACCAATGCCACCTTACCTTCCCCATCATACCACCCCACTAAAACGCCTTCCCTCCACCTTTTTACCAGAGACAGCCATCGACTCCTGCAGTAGCTCCAACGACTGTTCCGGCGATCACTCTGGTTGCCGCTCCGACGACTATTCCGAATTAAAAATTGAAAATCACTCCCCCACCCCATGGATCCACTATACCACCTTTCCTCCATCGGAGACAGCTATCGGCTCTTGCAGTCGCTTCGGAGATCACTTCGGTTGCCGCTCCGAATTAAAAATTGGAAATCACACCCCCACCCCATGGATCCACCTACCACCACCTTCATTCGCTGACACATGTCATTTGTGACTAACTGTGATCAAATTTGTATTCAGTGTGACTAACTGTGACCAAATTTGTGTTCAGTGTGATTGTTTGTGACTAAGTCAATCTCAAGTTACAATCGATCACAATCAAATACATACTTGATCGCATAGGATCACCACAAATAACCAAGGGCATCGAATGAAACGGTACCTTTTGCACTGTCAATACTTTCTACAACCCAAGTCATACATTTTCCAAATCACACCCTCGGCGACTTAAAAATTTTTAGAAAATTAAAAATTGGAAATCACACCCATACCCCATGGATCCACCTGCCACCATCCCCATTCGCTGACACATCTCATCCGTGACTAATTGTGACCAAATTTGTGTTCAATGTGACTGTCTGCGACTAGGTCAATCTCAAATTATAATCGGTCACAATCAACACAAAATTGGTCACAATCAAACACATACTTGGTCGCATATGGTCACCACAAATAACAAAGGGCATCGAATGAAACTACACATTTTGTATCGTCAATGCTTCCTACAACCCAAGTCATACCTTCTCCAAATCTATAATGGAATGGATATCAGGCTGCACCCTACTTAATATCAGAGAGGAGTTTACCTACACCCCCAACATTTTCTAAGAACGAGTTACCAACTTATATGAACTTCCCAATTCAACATCAACAGGAGATGGATTAACTGTGACCACATAATCGGTCACAATTCATCCAAAAAGTTACAACAGCAGCATAACACCCGAAAGTAACTACTATTATTTTATTAAAACACAAAAAGAAGAAAAAATCGCGTCAAAGGTAATAGGAAGTTCAAATTTCTGTCTAGTCAAAATCTCATTGCACAATTCATCCGTGTTGCCACAAAGCAAGGCTGAGGCTGCAAGGCCACTAAAATCAATCTTCATCATTTTCCCTAAAAANAATTCATCCATGTTGCCACAAAGCGGGGCTGTGGTCACGAGGCCACTAAATTCAATCTTCATCATTTTCCCTAAAAATCAATCAAGGTACCCCAATCAAAAATGTCACCAAATTTCGGCGAACTCCGGCCACCTAAACCGTTGGATATAGGTACCATTGAAAGGCCCGTAACTTCCTCTTTAATTCCCACCCAACATCCATCATTATCATCCAAGAATGTGAGAGAAATTAACAATCAAAACCAACTGCCGGAAAATGCCAAAACTACCAGAATCGCACATTTCGGCCACCACCACGATTGCGATCCTCCTCCGACCGACTGCCCAAAGCCAAACGACCCCAACCATGGCCATAATTTATCCCAAATAGCCTTCCATAAATTTGAATTGGCCACAGAAATTCTCGTAGTCGCGAACTCGCAACAAGCAGGTTCAAAAAACGCTGATTCCGGTGCCGTTCGATTGATCCAAGGTCGCAGACCTCCTGGGTCGTCTTTCCCACCTCATGGTGCACCTTGTCCAGCAATGAGTCAACCCCAATTTACAGCTGAACGATCTAAATTTGATCCAGAAAATCACGTAGGGACGAGGAGGAGAGAAGCAGCCGCCAAATCCGCCACCATCACCGCGACCAATTAGGCACCGCCGCCACCAACACCAACTAGGCACCGCCGCCGCCATCGCCACCGCCCTTCTACGCTGCCATCACCAGAGAAGGCTGAGAGAGAATGAAAGAGAGAGAGAGAGAGAGAAGTGAACGGGTGATTTAAAATCGGAATGTGTGGGTAGAGTGGGACGAGGTGTATATAAATTAATTTTTAGTTTTATAATATTAATTAATAATCCTATTTACCACCTAATTTTTGAATTGTAAAATTTTATCCCCTTAATTTTGAATTGTAATCTTGAAAAGAAGGGTTTTAGGTAATTTTCTCTATAAAAAACCCAACGTATCATGTGTATGTAAAACAAATCTTTTTTTAGAAGTATTATAAAGATTTAATATTTAATAATACAAATTATTGTTAACTCTTTCCTATTATAAATTACTAATTGTTTGAAACCCTGTGCAATAATTATTCACGGTTACAAGTGTAAAGAAAATGCTTGTAAACATTACATTTTGTATTGTACTTTGAAGTTTATTAATTATAAATGTTAAGAATATGCTTGTTAAACACATCATCTGTGCTTTGAAAAATTGGAAGGTGGCCTTTAAAAATCAACAGATTCCTTTCAGAAACAAGGGTTTCCTATGTTCAAGAGTGCTGATATAGAGTAACAATATTGCCGCGCTCTTAAATTCCTGGGTTAAGTCGATCGTCATAAAAGACTTAACCTGCCTTCATTGAACACAAATTAATTTTCAGATGACATAGTTGAAACTCGATCCTAACAAGTTTCTATTCAATGACTTGTTGCAGAAGATTAGAATAAAGATCAATGGTTGGGCCAATAATTAATCACTTGTAAAAGCATCCCCTTTTTCGATTTCTGATTCATATGCTGGCTTCAATAATTACCTGTCTAAATACTAGAGCTACAATTCTGTAATCACGTTTAAGGGGGATTATATTAGAAAGTACATTAGAGGGTTACATGCAAAGATATAAACACCATCAATTATCATTGTTCTCATGGTCGTGTAATTCCCAATGGCCATTGTCCTGTTGAACCATACCCTTATTCTTTTGACACCACCAAAAAGTGGGTACCGAGTATTGATCTTTGAGAGCATCTGATTCCTTGTTTACAAGAGAAATATCCCTGTTAACTTCCAAGTGAAACTCTCCTTCACTCCCTTTTGTTCCTGCTACTGAATGCAAATAACCAGGCTCTAAAATATGCCAACTTACAACATCTCCAGGATACTTTAGGAAAGGGGAGGTTCTACTATCAACTAGTAGCTCAGTTCCGATTTTTGTGTACCCAAATGGTGGATAGTGAGGAACAAGATCTGCTGCATTACGAACATTTAGTATATGAAGTTTTTTCAGAGAGTCTAGAATTTCCTTAAAATTCGAGTCCCCAACTCGCGGACTGCCAAACTTGAACACTGTCACGGGACAAGGATTGTTTGGTCGGTCACTCGGCCTGTTGTAACCATTGGTTACAATGTCTGCTGCACACAATGTTGAAAGTGCAGCACCCAAACTGTGGCCTGTTACAGTTATGCTCATTTCTTCGTTCTTGAATCTATCAACTTGTCGCCTTACCTCCGATAGAACCTGGTCATTTTAAACCAATTAACAATGGAATTTACCTTTGATTGCTAGTGTAACTCTACATATTGTGCTGATAATTAAGTTGTGTGTTCAAGAAACATTCCTAAAATGTTAAAAAGGTTGAATCCACTTGCCTTCTACACTTAAATCACCAATTTCAAACATCCTCTTGGTCAAAAACTCAATCACAAGGGGAAGAGTTTTAAAACCCTCAATCCAAATGCCAACTTTTGGGAGTATTCTAACGAACATCTTCAAGCCCTTCTCATTTTCTGTCTGTTTTCATGCTTAGTCAGCATTTGTTTCTTTCTCTTCTTGTTAGAGAAGAGCTCAGGGATGATATTGAAGGTCAACATCCCACGCGGGCGACCAATGACCCATTTTTCAACGCTATATATTTTTAGTCAATTTCTCTATATGATAATATTTCTCAATGAATTCGTATATACCTGGTCTTGTGCACTTGTTTTGTTGTATATCGATTGTTTATCAGTTGAAGTATAAATCGAAAGCACACCGCTGTGTACATTAGCACCACCAGTTATTTTTCCAAGAATCTTGGTTGCTGGTACAAGTGGGAAATCAAAATCTTTCGCCCATTCTATTGGTTGAACTGTTCCTCTCCATGCAATCAAAATATCCCTTCTTCCTAATGCAACTTTTCCTTCATCAGTTGAGACACCTACATAACCCATCCAATTTGATTCTGTGCACCAAGCTTCACTTGCTAAGGGCTTCATTATAAATGCATCTGGAACACTGATGCTAGAAGTTGCATATATGTACTTCACAATTTCATACTTGAATGGATTGCCTTTTTCTAATCCTACCCTGGCTAATAGATTCCTCATTGCATATCTGCTGCTCCCTGCATACCTGCTAACACAATTTAAGCCCATCTTTGATTTAAAAAAAAAAAAACGAAGGTTTATAAAAATATAAGTCAAAGTCAACAATTATTTTTAATTACATATTTCATGAGATCCACAATTTTTATCAACTTTTCAACTCCACGTTCCACTAACTTTTATCAAAATCCATTAAAAATGTGTTTTGTTGCAAAACCGAAGAGGGGATAACTGAAAAAGTTAAAATCTAAGTCAAAATCAACAATTAATTTTAACACATTTAATAAAATTCTCAACTTTTTATCAACTTTTCAACCCCATTTTTCTTAATTTTTTTTAATTAAAACCTATTAAAATATGATTTTTAGCAAAACGAAACAAGGTATAAATAAATAAATAAACTTCTCAAGAGTTTATAATATTAGATGACGACATTCAAATGTCACTCCCACTCATGAAAATTGTCAACTTGTTAGGCATTTATGAAAAATGAATCTTCCATACGTCGTGATGTGGTGTGTGAGACATAACATAAATAAATGGTTTCATAATACCTTGATAGTTTTTCAGAGTTGAAAGCGTCGTAGGTTGCATGAGCCATTTCACCATAGTGAATAATGTATCTCCTCACATCAATGTCGAGGGGGTCTAAAAGGTTCTTCCAGTTTTCTTGGCCACTAAGCAATCTCCATCGATGTGGTATACCTTGCATCATTTTTTAAAACTTATATTAAACAATTAAGCGTCATCAGCATATCCTTTCAACGTGTATTTATACTTGCTGGTTGCGTTCATGAAAATTAAGGAGTCCAATTAAGAATAACAAGACAGCTACAAGGAATCGCTGAGTTTGTTAGCAAACACTAAATGCATGATCATATTACATTTGGGTATTATTTACGTTGTGCATATATGTACATGCACGTCAAGTTTTTAATGTATATAATTTGAGTGTAAGAAAATTAACATAATTAAAGTGAAAAATATGAAATAAAATGCCACGGGAGCTTATTCATTTGACAATGAACAATTGAAGAATGGAAAGAGAAAGGTATCCCCAAGGAGAGGAGAATGGTTGAAAGTAAAGAAGAAAAACAATTTATCATATATTCAACAGTACCTGTTACAATGAAAAATCTCTCTTTATATAGTGCAAAGATTCTTCAAATAAACTATAAACTTTATTGCATTATTAAAACTAATCACAAGAAATATTGCAGTCGAGAAGTTGAGACTTACTATCCCCTTTTGGCTGCCACAACACTAAATTTCGAAACCTCGATGTATAAGCTCTTATCAGCAAATGGGAAAGACGTGATTAAAAATGTGATCTCACTTGTACCCTACCGTGTTAGCCTCTTCCCATTTGCTAACATACCCAAGTGTCGAATTTAATTGGGAAACAGCCGAAAGGACAACCAAATGGAGACCACAAATCTAAACTCGCGGTTGAGTATTTCACCCACTGTACAACATGGAAAATTGAAATGCAACATTCTCCGGGGAAAAAAACACATCATGATCAGCAAAAGCTACATAAAATCACTGGTAAGAGTATTTAAAAGCTCAACTATATATAAACAATAGTTAAAAGTGAATCCATAGTGACAGCATCAAACAAGGCAAAGAATAGCTAACATCTTTTGACCTCATTATATACAAAAATTTACATCAACCGCCTTCGTTCTCAGGTTTTTTACATTTTCGCGCAAGGATGAAACATGTACATCAAGAAAATTGGTGAAGGCAGTAGCTAAAGGGAAGAATAGCCTGAAGGTAGGGAGGGAAAAAAAAAAAAGGCCGACTGGCCACACACAAACAAGCCACCCAAAAATGAAAGAAAAGAAATATAGATTCAACCTCCATCTAATTGAACACTACTGCTGGTTCATCCAACTCTACGATTAACAAATCAATATATAATGGAGAAACAGGGCAAAGTTCTAAACTAATTCTGCCTGCCTCCAAAAGAATATGCATCCAATCCTCCCAAATGCCTATCCTGATAAAGGCTAATCAAACTCTACAAACCCTACTTTTCAATCATTGACTACAAAATGCACCAACCCATAGTTATCATGTCAACAAGCATTACCACCACCAGCACAGCAAAATACAGTAATCTACCCCTTGTCCATGTTTGTTAATCTCATTCTGTGGTACCACAAATTTGGAATTTCGTCCCAACAGTGACAGACACATTCTTTCGCAACCACTACAGATTCACCAGACACCATCTAAACGAGTCTATGCTGGTGTAACCGCTTCCCGAAGTGAGGTTGCATCAATCGGGCATATAGACCAGTTTTGCCAATTAATGTATCGTGAGTACCTTCCTCCACAATTCGCCCACCATTAAGTACAACAATATTGTCTACATGCCTCATCATAGCAGCTCGATGTGCAATTAGAAATGTTGTTTTGTTCCCCATGACTAGAGTGTCAAGGGCTTCCTGCACCACCCGGCTTGACTCAGATTCGATGGACGAGCTGGCTTCATCCAATAACAAAATGGGTGCATTTTTCAAAACAACTCTTGCAATTGCAATTCTTTGCTTCTGTCCTGGAGTCAGATCTACCCCCCTCATTCCGACGTGTGTGTCATAACCATTAGGTAAACTGCTAATAAAATGATGAGCATTAGCTATTCTCGCTGCCTCTTTCATCTCCCCTTCACTTGCATTATGCCTAGCATAAATAATATTCTCTCTTATGGTAGTTGCAAAGATGATAGGCTCCTGTTGAACGAGACCTAAGTGGCTCCTCAACCATCTCAAGTCATATGATTTCAAATCGCGTCCATCCAGTAAAACCTGACCACCAACTGGATCATAGAATCTTTCTATCAAAGATATTATAGTGCTCTTTCCAGACCCTGAAACACCTACCACTGCTATGGTTTGTCCCCCATTGACTTTGAGACTGAAATTGCTTAGAACTAGAATTTCTGGCCGAGTTGGATAAGAAAAATCAACATTTTTTAACTCGATGCTTCCATAAACATTGGGAGGTTTCAAGGCTGTACTATCATCTGGGTCAATCTTAGGCACTCGATCAATTATTTCAAAAACTGACGTCAGAGATTTTCTTCTTTTGAGAATATATGGAGCTAAACCAAAAGGCTCAACCAGTGCAAATGTAGCAAAAGAGAAAACCATGTATTCCTTCAGAGCTGTAGTCAAATTCATATACCCATTCTTGACAGAAAGGGCAGTATACCAAAGTAGAAGAGCATTGCAAGCAAAGAGAAGAAACTGGGAAAAGCCAAATGCAAAGCCAATTGCAACTCCATGGAGGAAGCTTTTCTTGAATATTTTTCGAAGCTGCAACCTGTAGAGCTCCATTACCTTGTTACCAGAACAAAATGCTACAACAGTATAAATGTTTCTAACCGCATCCTCGAGGACCAAAGAGGCCTTCCTATGCATCTCCTGAATGCCCTTTGAAAATCCAGCAAGCCACAATTTCTGCACAATTAAGTTTAACATACTGTGAAGTTCAGGAGTTAAATGATTTGGCATCTATTAAATTGTTATCAGTCAATGTGGGAAGAAATTAACATAGCAAAGGATTGTAGAGCTCAGGAAGTCCTTTCCCGGATAGGATTTCTGTTAGTTGTGTTTTCAAGGATTTGTCACAAGTCCAGACTCAAGGATGGAATATAATAAAAGTAACCATGAGTTGCTTTTTTAAACAGCTCTCTGAAAGTTTGAAATTGGCTACATGTTAAATTTTATGCAACAAAAGGCCTTCTAGGATATTCTGGAACAAAAAGTAGTCTTAAACAACAACCCCCCACCCCCCTTCTCAACCCAAAAAGAACAATGCCATAACAGGATGGCACAGCTCAAATCCAGACAAGTGGTCGAAGTTTTAATTTATATACGAGTTAAGGGGAAAAGTGAACTGGACATCAATCACACCAAATAGCCATCACAAAGACAATTAGTGCATTAATAGATTTGAACCTCTCAAATTATCAGTAAAGAAGCCAGCAGTGCTATTAGTGAAAGTCACAAGTATTGTTAAACAAATTACAATATACCAGCTGAAGCAAGTGATTGTAATTGGATCAGCTCAGGCGAAAGTCAAAATAAATATGGAAATATAACAAATACTATTCTTCTCTAGTTCCTTGAGCTAAACTTGTTCAGCAAGTTCTCCAAATCCATGTATAAAACAATCTAACATGAAAGTACTATAAATGATTTAGGTTTCTTTATTGTTGAAATGTTTCCATGTCAGTAAAACATCAAATATTTTATACAGAAACAACCAACATACTTTATTTCGGATATTTCACAACCATTGGATTTTTACTGATGGATTGGCTTGATAGTAATTGCATAAAGCTGTGGTGGAAGAAAACCACCAAGTCCACTCTCTCAATATCTCTATATATACACGTATACGCATAGACAAACATGTATATTTGAGTAGGGGACCTTTTGACACCTCATCACATATCAGTTCTGTTAGGATTGTTCTTGAGGAGATAAAAATATATAATAAAGCAATCTACATACCTGAGCTATTGCAGAAACAGTAAGAACGGGCAGAGTTGCCAAGGCCACAAGTGCCAACCGCCACTGAAGTAACATCCCAATGAGAACAGCCACCAAAACAGCTGCAGTGTCTTGTATAAATATAGATAGCCGGTTGCTAAAAGCAGCTCTAACAAAAGTAGCATCATTTGCTAAGCGCATGGACAAGTTATCAGCACTGTTCTCTTCTTCGTCAAACCATCCAACTTCATTATGAAGCATTGCTGTTGAAGAAAGCAGTCAGAAATCAGAGCATTCGTTAGATTATATTCATATAACATGCTTACAATGGCAAAAGGACAGCTTATTCAAGATAAAAAATACTAGTTGAAAATATGTGTCAATCCAGCAAATAATAAAATTACTATATGAAAGTAATCAGGTACCTGAAAACATCATTCTCCGAACACGTTCAGTCATTTTCTCCCCCATTATACCAAAATAGAAGTGCTGCAAAAAATTGGCAATCACTGTTACAATTCCCATGCCAGCAATGATTAAGCACCACCTGTCTACTTCCTGGCGTAAGTGATGTTTTTCATCAGTTCTGTAATATGCTGTTACTATGAGTGAGATAACATAAGCGAGCACAGGATTAAAAGAGCCAAAAATTGCAGCACCAATGCTTCCCAAAACAGCGTAAAGCCACTCTGCAAGGCTAAGCTCTACAAGCCTCCAAAAGGATGGCTCACCTCGAGGATGTTTGTCCTTAGTTTCTTGTGCTCTCATTGGCACGTCATCAAACTGACTAAGTGGTCGACTAAATGTTTGAGAATGAGAACGTTCATTTTCCGGATCAGATGTCAAAAGTGGCGAGACAGGTGATTCAGGATCTGAGGCATTGGTTGTTTGTCGATGTGCAGGGTGAACGTCAATCTTGGGTAGCTCTGGAAGTCTCTTTTCAAAACTATCCTGCCTTTTTATAGATGGTTCTTTATCTGTTGAATTCAAGGAAACACCATTTTCAATTATTTGTTCTGACGGGGGACTCTGTTCCCTGGGAGATGTTTGTGAGTCAAATGTAACATCAGCCGGACTAAATACATGGAAGCCAGATACCCTCTGAAGAGATGGTGACTTGGCCATTTTAGGAGATGATGGCTCTTGGAAGCTGTGACTTGCGGAAGAATCTTTTTCAATCTGGAAAGTTGCGGTGTCCTTGTAGTTCTGC